TAACCCGTTTTTGTATCAATTGATCACTAATTATGGTAATTGTGTTTACATTACAGTCATCTGAAGAGCGGTATGAGAGCATCAATGCCGGCTGTTTTATGCTGTATTTCAGATACGCCGAGAAAACCCATTGTATTGATGCCACGGCACCGACGGGTCGTTTCGGTCGACTCGTCAACCACTCCCGACTGAAGCCTAACACTAAACTAGAGGTGTTTGTGTTCGAGAGTCGGCCGTACGTCGTGTTGACCGCATTGGCAGACATAGGGGTCGGCGAAGAGATTACCTACGATTACGGCGATACCGATCCGGCGGTTCTCCTGGCGTTCCCATGGCTGCAGAACTCATAATATATTTCATTCAATAATCGCTTGTTTTTTATTAATATTCTCTACTTTATTGTCATTTTAAATCATTTTAATAATTGATTGTTAGTTCAATTCGTAACGAATAAAACCAATTGAATGCTAATCATTACCACAAAACGCATTTGTCTTTCCTATTCATTCTGGACTCAGGACTGCATTTGTAAGCGTCTGAAAATGGTTTAAAATTGGACACAGGTACATTCACTCGGTATTTGCCCGGACTATGCGGGTTGTACTCAATCTGGGTCTTCAGGGCCTCTGGTCTCCATAGACTGCACCAAACCTACAGTTATTGTGAAACAAAACAATATTAAATGACAACACTTTGAAAGCAGTCAAAACAATGACTGAAAAAACTTTGTCATACATTAGCGTGAGATAAGAAATACAACTGTTGTCCCGTGTATTCAGTCACGTGTGGCAGTCGTTGGGGTTCACCATGTTTTTTGACGTACGCTTCAAACGCCCGGTAAGACTCACGCATACCTCCGTTGTCGGCGATATTCTCGCCCAAAGTATTCTTACCATTCAACTAATTTTAATACATTTAAAACAATTATGATTAATTAAATATCACACACAATAAACATTATGGTAAAACTGACGTGCATTTGCACTTCGGGCACGTATTCAGCGGAATATTCTTTGACAAAACAGTCGGCCTTTTGATCAAATTTTTTATGGATAGCTTGTGTCCACCAATTTTTTAGATTTCCCTCCGCATCGAATTGACTGCCTTTAGATCACAAACAAAATCATTTCAATCAATCAATTGATCCGTTCGTTGATCTCAATCAACAATCCATACCCTCGTCATCGAAGCCGTGTGTCATCTCGTGTCCGATCACCTGTTGTTTGGATATAAGTTATACACATTTAGTAGATATACAATACATGTCTAAATATAATACCAATCCTATGGCTCCGTAATTAAGTACGGCTGGTCTTTGGCTGTCGAAGAATGGGGTCTTGAGAATACCGGCCGGAATTGCTGGTAAATAATCATGTTAGTTAATAAAAACAATTAGATCATGATCATGTACTAATTTACTAATTGAATTTTGTGTGGGCTCGTACGCGGCGTTCACCATAGCGGGAGGCATTGGCCAACTGTACGCAAATAATTACAATTAATATTTAATTAATTCAATTAATGTCTCAAACCTTAAGCTTAGATCAACTTTTTCTCGAAGCGCTTTAAAAGATCTAAATTGTGAATTGAATTGTAAGTTAAGAAAGCCTTCAAACGATTTCTTTTTGTCCACTTTTTCTTTCTGTAAACATTAGCACAAATTCATTACAAAATTACTTGTTTTATAATAAATAATATTAATTATTAACCAGATTATAATAGTTATCGAGATCTTCATTTTTGAGCAGCCAATCAGGATATCCGACGTTTTGCTTAATTGCATTCAATTTAAATAATGATTTATTTTTGGTACTTTCGTCCAACCAATCGCTCTCTTTAATCAACTCGTTGTACGAGTCCTTTATATCACTGATTATATTCGCGGCCTAACAGTGAATTCAACACACAATTCATTACAAATATCATCATTAAATGAGCTCAGCTTATTAGCATATGGTAAAAATATGCAACAATTAATTTACCTCTTGTTTATCCTTTTGTGAAAAATTCTTGTCGATATAAAGCCGACTCACAGCGTATGAAATGGTAGACAACAAGTTATTCACACAATTCTCCCACAATTCCGACTCTTTTTGCACACCAGAGACCACTTTATCGAAGTTAAAGACAGTGTCTCTGAATTGTTTGGTGGTATACGAGCCCAGACTCATCACTGCCATCCATCCCAAGTAATTGGACACAACTCGCGAGGGAACCACTGATAACAGATCTGTTACGCCCTTATAATACTCGATGTCTTGGATTATCACCAATTCATCGCTTTTTACACGTATTGTTGATCCCAATTGTGCGAAGATATCGTTTGTTAACTTAAGCCAATCGACTCTATTGTCAGTCAATTTGTTGAACGCCTCGAAAGACATTCTGTTATACCAAACACTAGAGTCTCTCTTCTTCTCTTGAGGTAACGATAACTGAAATTCAATTCAAAATTAATCACATATTTAATACAAATTTATATAAATAGTTATAATATAAATATATCACACTTTCGCCAGTTTTGATTCAAAAGTCAATATATCTTCAATGTCTTGATGTGTTTGAGTGTCGTCTTTAGCCCCCAATAGTACAGCCGATTGAAGAATGTATTTCTTATAGGCGTTCACAACATCGGGATATGCGGTCGTATTCACCAATTGGTTTCTGCCCAAACCAAAGCCCGAGGCATCAAACTATTGATTTAATCGACATTAATGTTATATACAGTACAATTACATCATCCAAAAGACCAATTTAAATATTGTGCTGCACTTACATAAACCCTGCGGACAGTTGTTTCATTAGCGTCGGGCTGTACTGAGACAGAGAAAATGGTCGACAAACCAAACTTTGCCACCTGTTTGGCGAAAGAGTCTTTCCAATCGCTGGGAGGAGCCGTCTGACCAGTTATAGGCCAACCGCCCACTGAATTCAGCGCCGATACCAACGGTGCCACTCCTCTGGCCGTAAGTGTTGCTACAAAATCACGCATTAATTAAAACCTAATCTACTATTAAATGTGAATAATTGTATGCAAACCGTCATCAATGCAGGCCTTATACAGATCTGAGGCATAGATAACGGCATTTGAGTCGGTTTTTGACGGCTCTTTGCTCAGCGATTCCTTAACACTCTTATGGAGATTATCGTCGAGTATATCAAAGCTTATATACGAAGACTTGTCGGCGGGTATGGTATGCGACGCCTCCCAACCCCCGCACGCGAACTCAAAGAAGTCAGTGCACGGGTCCACCGATTGGTTGAGATTGGCTTTCAGTATCTTTCCCGCGGCCTCACACGCGGCTGTCGTACAGATGTCCGGCTCCTGCACTACAGATGCACTCTCTGTACCCAAAACCACAGCCAATGCAATGGTTAACCCAATTATAACTCTGGAAATTAATTAATAAATCAAAAGTTAATTTAAAGTTTATAAATAAAATTTATTTAATTATTTATTTAATAGGAATATCTTATACCTCATTATTGCTGAGACTTATTCTATAATTTCAATGACTTCAATGAAGTTTGAATGTCAACTGAAACTCCGATTAAAACTGATGTGATATTTATTGACGATTATATTTTATATACGAAAACACTTTAAGTGAACAAATGTTTGTTCAGACAATTGAAAGGCATATCATTTTAATAACAATTCTTGAGATTATTCTGTGCGGTTGGCACATATTTCAACTCTCTCTCTCTCTCTCTCTTTCTCTCTCTCTCTCTCTCTCTCTCTCTCTCTCTCTC